ATTAGCTGGAGTAGTTAGTGATTTATACTAGACTATGCTAATTCCAAAATTAAGTTCCTATTAACTTATTCAAGTCCACATTAATTACTTCCCAAAATAAAACAACGCAGAAATGAATGAAAACAAATATCACAGTCTGGAAGCTACTATTTGTAGTTCGCAAACTAAAGTGATATGTATCGAAGTATTGTTTTTGGAAGTGCAACAGTGTGCAACGAGCATGTTCTTCGTTGCCTGAGAGCTAAGGATATGTCTGTAGCAAATTCTTCTACCAATGCAATATTATAGAATAGAATTACTTACTTACCAAAAAGCGATTTGATTTGCCTAACCCTTAGAATTGGATAAGCAGGCTAATGCAGAATCGCTCATTCAGCTACACTGGATCTATCCTCAACATACTAGGTTATAGTTCAGAAGTTATCTTTTACCTGTCAGCAACGCCTCTTTTACTAACTCAGCTATTTTGCATATCCTTTAGGAGTGTGTGCATGTGTATTTTGAAATCGAAATGACGGAGTCAAAATGAAGTAAAACTGCCATTTAATTTAAAATAAATATTACAATCTAAAACATGCGTTTTATTTCCCTACGTAAATTTTAGTGTTACCTTTTTGTTATGTTTCACTCAGTTTATTTTCTAACTGAATTATTATCCAAGGAATTATGTCCACAGAGTTTCCCTTCTTTGTTTACGCTATTCTCTGTCTTAGATTTTGCACTAATTACTATTTCTTAAACTTTGAGATTGGTTCAGCTGTGTGTTGTCAAATACCACTACATTTTACCAAGATTTTAATCTAGAAGTAGGCAAAAAGATTAGTTTTTATTGAGTTTCAGTAAAGTCGCATGACTTTTTTATGTATCGTAAATATATCACCTAATCTTTAATATAGGTAGCATTACTGCACATAAATTCAAAATCACGGCGCTTGTCATTGCCTATCCTTGTCAATTTAAGACCGCTGAATTCTTTTAGAAAGTATACAAAGCATTTTTTCCCTTTTTTACCACGGACCTTCGTGGTGTGACTGGAAGCACATTCGACGCTTATTCGGGAGGTCCGGAGTTCGAATCCCGGCAAAACCGCTGCATATTTTTCAAGTTTCCTACTTCAAAAGAAAAAAAATAATAATAATCACTTTAAAAGTGTCACCCAAACTAAAAGGTACGAACGGTAATTTGTCACCACTAGGATTTGGCGATTGGTCCCTAAACCCCAGTCGCCCTCTAAACAGGGAAGTATATCCTGTATCACCCTCTTTTCCGCATGTATTCGTGGTGTAATTGGAAGCACACTCGACGTGTAGGTTCGGAGTTCGAATGGCGGTGTCTCCTGCGTAAAAAAAAAAAAAAAAAGACTCTACAAGTTAGAACTATGGAATAGTTATCATGAAGCTTACATTTCTCTCGCAAAAAATTTCAGCTCCTTTTACTTTAAAATTATAAAAAATAATACAATAAAATATAAATAAATGAACAATAGATGAATTCTAGCTGCAGAAATTATCTTAAATTAATCTTAATTAGAAATTAAATTAATTTAATTTCTATCTTAATTAGAAATTAAAAGTCTGGGCAGGTAAACATCCGAAAAATAACGGCTCTTATAAGCGCCGTTTCTTTTCATTTTTTTCAAGCCGAGAATTTACCGGCTGGGCATTCCTCAGCCATGATTAAACGAGTTGATCGTCGTGAAGTTATTTTCTATCTTATTACGCAGAACATTTTCCAGAGAGCTACTGATATTAAACCCGCAGGGGGAAAGGAAAGACAACACAAATATAATCAGTTTTTTACGGAGCCAAAATTCAACCCTTGTACCTGACAGTCAGTCTTACATCGTCCAAATGTAGATTATAAATTATATGGGGAAATGTGGTAATTCATTATAAAAGAAGAGGTAATTTTATTTTTCAAGTCTTCTTTTAACAATCAGTAATCTCATTTTTTAAAACTACCTTATACGCATAATGATCGCAAAACAATTTCTAAATATACTACAAGCACAAAAGTAATACGCAAATAAATAAATAAATAATCTCGTTTTTCTGTTTTACTGCCATCGCTATGCTACTTTTATAATGAAGCATTCAAGCTAACGGGATGGCAAAACTGACAACTGCGTCAGCAGTGCCAGTGACATAGGGGGGGGGGGGGGGTACCATTGCGCTCGCCAACACAGGTCAGAAAATCAATGGAAAAGAAGCACTTCATCTTCCAAAGAGGCCCGTTTAAGGTAGAGTTGTTGCATGTCTAGTGAAGTCAAGAAGGTATGGGACTGTACTGTTTTCTGAAGAATCCAGATATTCAAAGCGTGTTTTGATCAGGAAGAAAAGAAGAATGCATAACTTGTAATCCCTTATTGAGGAAAGATTCCGTTTCCGCTCATGCGGTTTCATGGTTTGAGATCGAATTATCAAACGTAGCTGTACCGAGCAGTAAATCTTGAATCGAAGCTCTGTAACCAGTCACATTTATGGATGAGAATCCATTGACGACATCATTGACGGGAAATGGAAATAGCCATTATTCATTTTAAATAATACTTTATTTTATTAGATTAATCAATGACTCAATTTAAATTTAAACTGATTTTAATGTTGTAATCAATATGCTTAATTTGACAATATTTAATTTGAACAATGAAAGATAACTTGCTATAATGGACAGATATATAAAAGGACATGAAATAATGTTCTAAGCTTAATAAGGCCGCTTAGTAGGGATACCTCAAGTACAAACCAAAAACTGATTAACTGCATTTTCATTTAATTTAATAGCATGTGAATGGTTACCACCTCATTTACATTAATTAACAATGGTTTGCAACCAGTTCATAGTCAATACATAATTACGTTAAGTGGGATAGTGCAATAGGTACCTTCTGAGTAATGCTTAGAAGTAATTCATCATTTAAAGATATGTTTTTAGTACAAGCCTCTTTGAAATTTAAAACTGATTTTAATAAGCAGATATTTAAATATTTCTTTGAAGAAACGAAATATTGGTGAAATGCAAAAGAGGCGTATTTGTAGTAAGAGGAAATTCGGAAACCAAAATAAATGAATACTTGAATGTAATAATGTGAAATACACATCGATAAATATTACAATATAGTTTTTAAACTTTTATTTATAGCACTGAAAGTTTAAGTAGAAAGGCAATCGTAATTTAAACAGACAATTATTTGAGGTAAACACACACAGAACCCAAATAAGACCGTTAGCATAACGTAAATGCTATAATACTAAAATTTGCATTTTTATGCATTCAAACATGAAAGCCAGTTAGTATAGACAACATTTTCATGTAGAGCAATAGGGGACTCATTTTCAAGTGATAAAAGTAAATTTGCATTATGCTGCTCATAAAAATTTTAAATAAGTAAGTACGTGTTGTGTTTCATTCATAATTAATTGTAAAAAGTTCTTAATGCTTCTGAGATTTTGTTTGACAGCCTTATATTACTTAGAACAAGAAACATTTGATGTATTTCAATTTAGATTTAAAGAGTATTTTAGTTATAAATATAATTGTATATAAAAAAGTTCCAACCACTCTCCAGAAAAAGAAAAAAAAAAAAAAAAGATAAGAATTTTAAAATTTCAGATTTCATTGCTGAAATCTCTATCGAATATTAATATGTACCAAAGAATAAGCTATTACCGTGTAATAAAGTATTATCCTGTGCTAAAGTATTACTTTAAGATAATACCGTGTGCCTTCGTGGTGTATCTGAAAGCACATACTGCTGGCAGATGGGAGGTCCGGTGTTCGAATCCTGGTGAAGGTTCTCACATATCTGGCTTCAAAAGTTTCTAAACTTCTCTACAAGTGGCTCTGAACTAAGTTAATGACAATAATTCGTTATCACCGCGATTTAAAGATTTGAGTCCTTTAAATAGGGGAGAATGCAAAGAATTTCCTCCCTCCTTACAGCGTGCCTCCATTATGTAATTGAGAGCACGTTCGGAGTTCGAATCCCGGCGAATGCATTGCACATTTTTCATGTTTACTGCTTCGACAAACCTAATAACATAAAATCTTATTTTATTTTTTAATAAAATAAGTTTCTGTGTATCAATTTGCCATTCATCATGCACAATAAACATGTTGCCAATTACCGGCAACATGTTTAGTTAACTAACAATAGATGAAATATTCAGTAAGATTATTGTGTAATTTTATTTTAGTCAGCTACTTTCTTTTCTTTCTACTTTTTCTCCGATTCTTCCGGTATGAAGGTCCGGTTTCTCTAACTATGGGAACAACAGCTGCTGAAAAAAGGTAGAGTCGGTTAACTTCATTTCCGTTTAACGTGTTTCTCTTTGTGAAAGGCACGCAAATCAAAGCTGATTTGAACTTGAGCCTCAAAAGGCGCGGAGAAAAGAAATGTTGTGCTGTGATGACGACATGAGTTATTATCGCAAATGATGGGAAACTGGCAGTGGCCTTTAACTGCCTATTTAAAATAACAGATTACAGTAAAATCGATTAATATTTTGTTACATACGTCTTCCACAATAGAGGCATTATCAGAAATTTCCAGAGAGAAAAGATGCTCTTTTACAAAGAAATGCGATTTATGTGACAAAAATTTCTCTACATCCCTCATGTGAATTCCTCAGCCAAAATATGACTAGGTAAAGTGCAACGTTAATTAATTAAATGATGAAAAGATATGTTAAAGTTCTGGATTATTCAAATGAACGTGAAAACTTTTAGGCGTAATCAGTATTTTAAAATAGTCTTGCAGGAAAGAATTTTTTTTTTTTTTTTTTAATTTTAAATATGACATTTCAAAAGATTTTATCATCTCTTTCGAATTTCCTTCATTTGGGATCTTGAAAGCCATCCTAACTGCAGATAAAAAAATAGCATAAGTAATAAAGAGGAAATAAAAGAAAGACGTGCTGTACAATAACCGGGAAAAATTATCAAGAAATAAGTAATTTCACTTTATTATTAGCCTAATATTACGCTGATCTTATACTTACATTCGTGGCTGATCTATCTGAATGCTCCTTTTCATTCTGGAACCAGTTTCCCTAGAATAAAGGAAATTTATGTGAAGATGAGATACTTCGATACTTTGTGCTAATAATGTTTTGTGCGTAGTAGTGCACATAGATTCGAAATTGTTTATTGTTTATGAACATTAAACCTGTTTAATGTTAAAATATTATAAACCCTATTAAGATCTATAACGGAAATCAAAAGTGTTAAATTTGATGTTATCTTTAATGCAATTATTTTATTTGGGAAGAAAGGAAAGACTTTTTCATGTGAAATAACGTTTATTCTGCAGTCATTAACACAGTGAAGCATTTTTTATGGAGCATTACTTAAATCTTTTCTTTCCTTATACATAATTATATTTATATTAATGTAAATATTTGAAAAACAATGAAAGAAATGTTTACATGTAATCAACAGAAGAGAATGCGAACGAGGATACATGTGAAATACCTCTTGTGTTCTACTGCTTAGGTTCACGAAACATTTTGAAGTTTATATTAATTATTAGAAATATATTTTTAGTTATTAATTAAATAGTATTATTTCCCATACATTTAAATTTTTTATTATTATAGTAGCTTTTTCTAGGATGATTCTTTCATCCCTCCTTCTTTCAGAGGAACTATATATATGTGCGTAACAGTAAATTATAGGGCCCACCAGCGGCCGAGGGGTCGCTGAACACTGGTAGTTCGGTCCGAGGTTCGGGCTGGCTGCATGGACGTTTTCGTGGTTTTCCACATGTGTAACGTGTATACGAGCCATTTCCCTTAAAAAGTCCTCGACGAAGGCATCCCTCCCCTTAGGCAGATAGCCCTCGAGGCTTTGCCATAATCACACACGCAGTAAATTACAACATTTGCGGGTGGGTAATGATGCTAAAAGTTTTGAGAAACATCACCAATAAATAGACTGTAGATTCAGAGGTGATAAATATTGTAGCTTGATTTGTAAAAATCATGTGTTAAATGCCAATAAACGTTCGAGAAGGCTCAATAGGTTGTTCTAAAAAAAAGGATTTTTAACAGTAGTTGAAGAAATGTATAGGAGGAAAAAGCACAAAGACTAAAAGCCATGCATACACAATAATTATACTGCATTCTTCATGAGCTGGATAAAACATTGAATGTCGTCAAGACCTTTCACATGATATTATTTTAAAGAAATGGCTTTCATTACTCAGACATTATTTTTGATAAGAACTACAATTAGTTAAGAAATGGAGATCTTTTATAGTTCGACTCCACGTAAGAGTCAATAAGCTATTAAAATCTTCCTGTCACTACCAGAGTAAAGAATATTTTTCAAAAAATAGTTATCTGTATATAGCGGAATGAGAAGAGCTCCATCTATCATGAGATTTTTGAATTGCATTGTAACAAATCAACAGATTCACGAATGGAAGAATGTTATTCATCTCTACTTAAAAAATAGACTGGCCTTAATTAAAATATAAAGGAGTTTGGAGCATCGAGCAAACACCATACATTGCGAAGAAAAAAAAACTTTCTTCAATTATGAAATTTTGCTTCATTTTTCTTGTTCCAACTTGAAAACCTCTAAAAGTACTACTTAGATGAGAAAAGGTACAGTACAGATAAAGAGCTCAAAATAGTATAAAGATTATTTTTTTGCCCCTAAATTCAAAGAATTTTAGGCGATGGGCAGTAATAGTGCAAGAGGAAATGGAACAATAAAATGTTGTTTGGAACTTAAGCATAGAATTTAATCAAAAGAAAAAAATCAACATTATTTTTCATTCCGAATTTTTTTCACATTTTGTATGCATTTCACACATATACACAAATTAGATAATCTAAACATTTGCCCCGAAAAAATTCTCGAGTCCTATCTCGGAAAATTTATACTTCTGAGGTGTTAAGGTTTCCTGAATGTTTTAGAACATGCTTAAGATAAATTGTGTAGCATTTATTTAATATCTAGAACCTAATTTAGAACTTGAAAGATACCTGCAAGGTATTTAAAATACCTGTTGAGTAAGAACAGCACCTTTAACAGCTAATTAATAAGAAATATCAGTTAAGACACAAGAACACGCCGAACAAATACTAATTCAGAAGTCAAACAACAAAAATCAGTGTTATATTTTCAAATTTTCACAGAAATAAAATTATTTGAAAATATAACGCTGATTTTTGTTGTTTGACTTCTGAAATATCAGTTGCCCACACGGGTCAAGATACAAAATGCTGAAAGGGTGCACGGTTTCATATATGAATAACTTTGTCATTTCATAATACCTCATTAACTTTGGTTAGTACACAAGCTCCAAAGACGTAACTAAGTTTATTTTATGATGAGTCATTCCTTAATAACATTTGAAAGCAAATTAAAATATAAATAATATTGTTGCGTGTGTACGGATTTGTAATGGATTGAATGCATGCAGAACCGGTGATAGCTTGATAAAATTTATTCTACCAAAAAAAAACACTTCACAGTTTTCGAAATTTCCACAAAAAAACTCGGACAGCTCTTCTCAGTATCATAGACTACAATGAGTAGTGTGACTTTAAAATACTAAGGACGTTAAACATAGTTCACTGCAAAGCGCATCTAAAAAGGCGAAGCTCTCACGGAGGTCTCTCAATACACCGAAATCACGCTGAGCTAAGCTAAGAATTTATGTTCTTTACGGTAGTATATAGATTTACCCCGGCAGGATAGATTTACCACAAAGGCACGCTAGGAAAGTGTGAGAAATACCTTATACGTTCCTTTCTCGAAATTACTGGAATCGCTGATTTTATCACATTTTCTGTTCCAATAAATACAAATGATTGGACAATAGAGCTCGAGTAAAATTCGCTATCACCTGTATTTGATGACTAGGTATAATTGAAAGCACGCCCGTCTAGCAGTCGGGAGATCCGGAGTTCGAATTTGAGTAAGGGCGTTTCTGACTTTTTACGTTTCCTGCTCGGAAACGTTATCGGATGGGAAAATATATGATGCCTCTGTAACATCATAGTCATTTGTATAAAACTGATGAATTTTGAAGAGAAATTTACCTCAGACCGGCCCTCTCTTTTTGTAAAAGATTTCGCACTGACAACACGTTATCAATTAGAAGGAATGAACTTTAGACAGAATGTTGCTATTGAATTTAGTCAGATAAATATGTTGTGCAAGGTGACTTTAAGATTTACATATTGCATTATCACTTTCCTTCTCTATGATGTATATTTATTAAAATTATAACTGCAGGAAATCTTTTACCACTTAGGAAAATTAAATTACCCAGTAAATGATTAACTGATGATAAAAACGTGATGTCAAAATGTCAGACGAGAAGATATATTTTGGAGGAGATAATTCTTTTGGAGATACGCGTTCCCTAATTTAAAAATTCTTTTGGAGATACGCGTTTTTTAAAAATTTTATCTAATCATTATATCTCTTATTTTTCCGGCGCTAGAGGAAAATGAAATAGCGAATACTACTATCCAAAATTTAAAAAAGTGTTTTTTGTCAAGAAAGTTATCTTAATTTCTGTTTGTTGTGCTTGTTTACATTATGATTGAAAGAAAGACCATTAATTTAAAATGTTGTGAACCTTTCATATAGTGAAGCGAGCATAATTGTAAGATAATTTAATGCATTTATATTGCAAATAAAGGCACCTAATAATGATATTAAGCCACGAATGTACATAAATTGAAATTTTTGAGGAACTGCTCATTCTTTCTTAGCACTTCTAAATGTGAATTCATTTCCTAATAGAGATGTAATCGTCTGTATTAAGTTTGCTTACTTAGTTATGATAAAGTATTTCATTATATTTCCTACGTCCTATATTCCTTCTCGGAAGACGTATATTTAAGGTGAGACCTGCTTGCATTTACATTACACGTAAGGGAAACTTGGAACGCATCTATGTACACTGGTTTCCAAAAATTAAGGGAAAAAAAAAAAAACGACAAAAATAGCTATAACTCGTTCAAAAATAAGCTTGTCTGCTTAAAATTTGGATATGTTGTGAAATAAGAACTGTTGATCAAAACTGCGGTATGCAAATTAGTGGCGCTGCAATCGAAATACGTCACCTGAGAGGAGTATAAATGTGCATGTTTCAGAGCAAGCCTGAAAATTTCGCTGTGCTAATGAGATAAGAAATCTGGAATAGCCAATTTGTAACAATGATCTCCAGGCATGATTTGCCCAAAGAACTGCGATAGAGAGCCATTGGGAGACTAGAGGCAGGACAAAGTGAAACAGAAGTGGCCAAATGGCTAAACGTGAGTCATTGTGTAGTTCATAGACTTTGGAAATCCTATCGAGCATTTTTGGGATGTTTTAGGAAGACGTATAGTTGCTTTCAATCCACCTTGTTCAGACCCTTGCTACGCTTGCAACTGCTTTGCAAGAGCATTGGTTCTCACTTCCTGCATAATTGACATCGCACATCCCTGTACGTGTTGTATTGTTTCTAGGGGAGATCATACTCCATACTGAAGGTAATTTTTCTATACAAAACTGGCACATCCAATTTGTTCATTTTATACATATGCTAATTTCTATAGCACCATAATTGTCTGGTAATTTCATTCCATGTTACTTTATACCTTACCATGTGTCATATACAGTGGTTCACTTTCATTAAATTCTACACGTAACTTTTTGAATAATCATCATTTTTGTGATTTTTTTCTAAATTAATCATAACCAGTGTAGTTAAACCTCTTCGAGCCAGAAATAAAATCAAGGTGTCAGTCATTAGTAACCTGACGGCTTTTGACGGATCTGCTATTATAATTCTACATCAAGAGCTTAAGATTTGGCTGAGTATATTTGAACTATTCTGATTTTGCGCTAAGGTGACTATAAAATTGTTTAAGGCACGAAAACCGACTATACTTAGCAAAATATGTTAAATAATTCAATAAAAGTTCTGCATTAAGAAATATTTTTAAAACCCGAAATTTTGCTTAAAATGATAAATAAGTAAAATTTTAAGCTAAATAATCCTTTAGATTTTAACAAATTATTTGTTCAAGAATTTCATTTA